CCCTGTTATCAGTTCTAGTCTTTCGCACTTCACCTACTTTTTTTCCTATTTTCTTTCACATAGTGCATTTCGTACTCTTCCACGTGTATATTGTTGTTTATTGCTAGATTTCATTATTGAGACTTAATTCCCTGATGAATATCTCTAGAAAACTTGCACTAACACAAGCCCACACTCCGAATCACACCCACACTCAAACACGTGTGACGAAAGACACACAACAAAACCCCGAAAGTGCTTGTAAGAAGGCCTTAGACCTGTGGGAATGCCCTATTAAAAAAAAATAATAATAATATGATTCCTGGTGGTGACAGTCAATTTTTTCTTCAGACTTTTCCCGTTTGTCTCTTTCCCTCAAACTAGTGAATATTTTATGACTTGGGGCTCCCAGCGTACTAGAGTGTACGTGAAGTGTGTGGGTACAGTGAGAGCTGCGTCCCACCCGCCTGTATGGATTCACAGGAAGTGTGAGCTACGAAGTCTGAAGAAAATGTTGAACAGTCTCTGCTGGGATGGCGACTACACCATAGCTCAGTGGTTGGATCATCGCTAGCTACAAGCGAGGGTCCCTGGTTCGAGTCCTGGTGGTGACAGTCATTGTTTTCTTCAGACTTTTCCCGTTTGTCTCTTTCCCTCAAACTAGTGAAAATAATAATACAGTAATAATAAAAGAAGATGTGAATAGTGGTAGGATTGATAGATATGGTGGTAAAGACACACCTGGCAATATGGCGGTAAACACACGCCTGCCCACACACGCTCTCTAGGCTGCAAAGTTCTGGCACAGAGCTCTCCTTCTCACCACCACCACCATCAGTTCGCGCCTGGCGCCTGGTCGATGCATGGCTGGCGGTATCCGGCATAGCAGGCTGGTACATCAAGTAGCGCATGGCACATAGATGATGACCCAGCAACGACATAGCTCCACCAGGCGCCAGGCGCGAACTGATGGTGGTGGTGGTGAGAAGGAGAGCTCTGTGCCAGAACTTTGCAGCCTAGAGAGCGTGTGTGGGCAGGCGTGTGTTTACCGCCATATTGCCAGGTGTGTCTTTACCACCATATCTATCAACCATAAGTACAGCTGCAGTGGTGTCTTCAATTTCATTCTCCCGAGTGGTAGGATTATGAAAAAAAAGGGATGGGATTCCGTCACCAAACTGTAACTACGCTACGACATTGTGCTTAGCTAAATGAATACAGCAATGGCGTGAACAATTAGCCAGGCAGAGATACTACACAAGCACACATGACAACAGGAGAGTGCAGTGGCCACCGTAACGGTCTTCATCATCCGAATTTCACATTGTCATTTGTCAAGCAGCACCCAACCACGATCACTGTTTACCTCCTAGGCGTCTGGATATGTGGATTGTACTCATTCCATGTGTCTGGCTATTTTATTCTCCCCCCCCCCCCCCCCCCCCGGGTATGCTACCTATTCAATATCGCACAAGTGGGGAACCTCTTCAGAGGCTACCTGCCTCTCGGTCATCCCTCGAATAGAGACGAGAGAGCCTGGAAGCTCAGGGCCCTACGCTATGCTTTTTTGCCTTGATGACCTAGACAAAAAAAGCATACGGATGTTATAAATTCATATAAATTTTTCCTTTTTTTTTAAAGACATAACCTGGGATTCGAACCCGCACTATCACCGTGCATGCATCCCCCAATACACTTCGCACACAAACTAATTCTTCCAAGTTGCTTCACGTTATGATCTTGCATTTGAAAGCCCTATATGAATATGCATTGTGGCCAGACGTCTTTGATAGCACGGTACGGTACGGGACAGGTACGGGACAGATACGGGACAGGTACGGGACATGTACGGGACATGTACGGGACAGGTACGGTCGAAGGAAATACGGCATCGTCTACCGCCTTGATGACCTAGGAAAAAAAGCATAGAGATGTTATAAATTTTTCAATTCTCCTATTTTTTTTAGCATAACCTGGGATTAGAACCCGCACTATCGCCCTACATGCATTCCCCCATACACTTCGCATTCATACTCATTCTACCAAGTTGCTTCACGTTATGATCTTGCGTTTGAAAGCCCTTTTTTTGAATATTGCGCCCAGCTGTATGTGGCCAGCTGTGTTTGATGGTACGGTACGGTACGGGACAGATACGGGATAGCGCCGGGCGTGACACAAACACACAAACACACAAACACCAAACGAGAGAGCTTGGAAGCTCAGGGCCCTACGCTATGCTTTTTTGCCTTGATGACCTAGACAAAAAAAAGCATAGGGATGTTATAAATTCTTTAAAAAAATCATTTTTTTTAAGACATAACCTGGGATTCGAACCTGCACTATCGCGCGCCCTGCATGCATCCCCCGATACACTTCGCATACATACTAATTCTTCCAAGTTGTTTCACATTGTGATCTTGCATTTGAAAGCCCTATTTGAATATGCATTGTGGCCAGCCGTCTTTGATCGCACGGTACGGTAGGGGATAGGTACGGGACAGGTACGATCGAGGGTAATACGACACCGTCTCCCGTACCATACCGTACCATCAAACACAGCTGGCCGCATACAGCTGCCCGCAATATTCAAATAGGGCTTTCAAACGCAAGATAATAACGTGAAGCAACTTGGAAGAATGGGTATGAATGCGAAGTGTATGGGGAATGTATTCATTCCATGTGTCTGGCTTTTTTATTCTCCCTCCCCCTCCCCCTGTTATGCTACCTATTCAATATCGCACAAGTGGGGAACCCCTTGAGAGGTTACCTGCCTCTTGGTCATCCCTCGAATACAGATAAAAAATACTACACTTCCGTTGCGAGCAAGTTATGGATGGCGATGTGAAGGGAATGATTGGGGCTGTGGATGTCGTGGTGGTCGACGCAATGCGTAGTGCCCTCACCCAGTTGTACTCGAGCTGAGACTGTAAGCCAGACGTAACTCTACAATAGCACCGCCCTAGAGCCTAGCTATGCATGTGGAGGTAGACGTTTGCCTAGGATAGCAGATGCTTTTGGCCACTTTGTGCTAGTGATGAATCAGGAGGCATTTTCGAACCGCCATTCTTGCCCATACTCGGCTCTGGTTCTGGAACCAGTTACTGTTGGCAGTGGTGTTGGTGCTGAAATATATTGCCAGGGACAAAACCGAGCGAACCCGCCGCATCGCAGCCGGAACCAGTTGGCATATCGTAGAGTTGCATATTGTTGCTTGTCGTGTCCATCGATCGATCAGCTTCATAGCCTCGCATGGTCGGGTAGGATAATATCATCTCTTGTTTAAGAACATTACTGCCCGTTGACTCGTCTCAACACATATCATAGCAGTGTTGGTCGACTCGGGATGGGAAACGATGCTCGGCAAAACACACTTGTTTTAAGGTCATTGTGCCATGATAAAGAACCAAACTATTCACTGAACAGATTATTTTCAGCCACCATTCACGTTGACCTGGCCAAGGATCGTGACTTGAGCAGCCAGGCAGACACAGCTTGCAAGAAAATCAGACAGTGTCTTTTCAATGTATTATCTGTCTGAAGGAGAGCAGCAAAAGAAACGGAGCTGATAGAGCTAACTGGCTGTGATGCTTTACTGCATAAATTCAGTGCATGTTGCAGGAAATGGTTACAAGATCTGGGCTAAACATTAATAACTCTTTCGTCACTATCTCGTCAAAGTTTAAATTCTTAGTTTACTGTGATATTCAGGTTGTTTTCGTCTTCAGTGCGCTCGCCGTCCCCTTTTCTCATGATTGTTATTTTATAACTTAGAACCTTCCCAGTTGAACGGTTGTTGAATGGCGCATACATGATGTGACAGAGTTAGTCGTCAGGTCTCTGGATGTCTGTAACACGTCAGTAAGTGTTCTGCTACCTGGTGCACCTTCTGATTATACAACATTGTGCGTATACGGTTAGTGTTGGACACAATCTGTGGATACTTTCTTGCCACCTCCCTGGACAGCGTGTTTCTCCCTCCCACTTGACTTCACAGTTGACTGACTAACGACGGCCAATAAGAACGGTGTTGGCTTCTCACCCCAAAGTCGCGCTTTGCCGCCGATTTTACATATGCCTGACTCGAGTGCAAATCAGAGCACCACAGATTTCCTTCTAAACATTCACTTTGCAAGGGTTCACGAAACCACCACTTACCTTGAATTTTGCATTCCAATTTTGAGAGAAAAATGACCCTGATATAGACAGGCCTACAGACTGCCTGGAGATGACATGAGTTAGTAATTGTTTCCGGTAGGGCTAACGAATCACTAGAACAGGAGAGATTAAACAGACGCAGGAGAAATGATGAAACTGGATCTGCCTGTGACAGGATGGCACAAGTAGGTTGAAACTTGTAATTGGTAAGGCTTGCACAAGATAATTATGAGAGTGTTATAAATCGATCGGTGGATTGGAAGCATTGGAAAAACTCCCAGATACTGAGGACTTTTACCAGGCCCATGTGCCAAGTTCCTGCCAAGCCATTACAACTTTAACGTGGCCGGGAGCGAACCTATCGGCGCAGAAGACGTGATTAAACTTCATTTTCCTGTCAAAGTGTTATGCAAGACATGTAACATGAGCCTCTCACTAGGTAGGGCTTGCACAAGATATGAGATGAATTTTAATCGACCTCGAACAAAACAGAACAGATCTTGTCATATTGTATGATACACAAGTGAATGCACACATACATGTGCTGGCGTGGCTTCATGGTATTGGGAAGCCAACAACATACAAAGTACAGGAACGTCAGACCATAGACAGTAGAAACATCATTTATTTATACAACCATACACATGTAGGTGACGTCAGCGTTAGAAAGTTATCAGCACGTAAGCGACACAGCGTGATTTGTTAAAGACTCCATTGATACAGGGGATGTGGCAAGGTGTTGGTATAGTAGTCAATACGACGCAAAACCCTGGAGCTGCAGCAACACCATGCAGTAGCAGATCAGGCATGCTTAACTCTACAGTAACCCCTATATTTACCACTTAGGACGTATAGCACCTACACCGGTGGAGGTAGGGGCAGTCCAAGGATACCAGAACACTTTGAGGGTGTTAGACCATTTGTGCCTGCTGATGAACCAGGAAGTTTTCTCCATTTCACCAGTCATCCACTCCTCTGCTCTAGATGTATAACGAGTTGCCTTTGACGGTGATGTTGGCAGTGCTGCTGCTGATGGTTGGACTCCTTTTTCTGGAGATGATGTTGCCGCTGTTGATGCTGCCGTACGTTTCATGGATGAGCCTGCAATGGTTACTTGTTGGTGCATGGCGGCTGGTCCGGCGAGTGTCGTCGATGCAGCGGTTCTGTGAAAAGATATGGCCGAAGCTGCACTAAACGCAGGGGCAATGGACGCGGCAGAGAACTGTAAAGCCGCAATCCGCTTCGTAAGTGATGGTCTGTTAGCCATGTTTGTAAGCGAAGGCGACCTCATCATTACCTCGATATTATTCGTCCTGCACGCCTTCATGACCATCTAGATATTCCTGGTGGTGCTGCTGCTGCTTCACTGGTTGCTGTTGCTGCAAATAATGTATCTGCTGCTGTTGCTGTACATTTACAGTGGGTAAGCCTGTCATGGTTACCTGTTGCTGTGCGAAGACGGAGGCGGCGGTGTCTGTCGATGTAGCAGTGCTATTACAATATGTAACAGAGGCGGCACTAATGGGCGACGCAGTGACTGTTTCAGATAATTGGCCAGCTGGCCTCACTGCTGATAGTGATGCCAGACTCACTATGTTTGTAACGGAGGGTGCATCGACACGTCCCGGAGAGTCTTTCTGCTTCACGCTTGGTGTTGGTTTTGATACTCGCCGGTGGTGAATCCTCATGTGTGGACGCATATCCCTAGCCCGAGTGAATCTTGTACGGCACAACACGCACTGGTATGGTTTCTCACCGGTATGTGTGCCCTTGTGCTCGGTCAGGTGTGCCCGCCTTGAAAAATTGCGCTTACAGATTCCACATTGAAAGGGCTTCTCGCCTGTATGTGAACGCATGTGCCGGGTCAGGTCGCAACTGTATTGGTAACGGCGAGTGCAGCCCTCATAACCACATACATGGTTCAATGGCCGGTGCTTGGATGGTAGCGATCCACCACTCAGTGACAGTTTCACGCGGCAAATCTCTTCTTCGTGATTGTCGGTATCTGGCACCATATTACCTGGCGGTGACGTCACCCCCGAGGAACTATAACCTTGTGCATCCTGAATCCCGTGAGTCGAGGGAAACATATCACTGCTGGCACCTTGCACAATGGAAATGTTTGCAAGGGAAGCTGTGGCATTTTGGTGTCGCACTACACCACCGTTCGTTTTGTACTGTTGCTGGTGCTGCTGGTGCTGATTCTGCTGTTGCTGCTGCTGCTGCTGCTGTTTCGGGTTCCGGCTAATGGTGGTATCAGCATCAGCACTCCAGGAAGGCGGGATGTTGGTAGAAAAGGAGCCCATTGCTAGCTGATCATTGCTTGTCGTGTGCATCGTGAGCTCAGATCGATAGCCTTGCATGGCCGGCTTGGACAATAACATCTCTTGTTGAAGAACAGTACTGGGCAGTTGACTAGTCTCACTACCTGTCTTAACACTGTCCGCCGAATCGGGAGGGGGTACGACAAGCGACTCGCGTGTATGCGTACGCCTGTGTCTTGCCAACTCCTGAGCGCGAGAGAAGCTGAGTGAGCAGCCTTCCCGACCACATTTATATTTGTTCCATGGTACAAATGCCATACTACAAAGAACCACAATGGCCAGCAAGGCTTCTTCATCCGTACTCTTAGTTTCAGGCTTATCAGACCACATAATGGTGGTATTGGCCAAACCTGTATTTATCCCACGAGAGGCATTGGTGTTTTTGCTAGCACTATGCACCGAGTGTTGATTTTGGTAGTCCTAATCGCTATGTGGGGGCTGTGCGTGATTATGTAGTGGGTCGCAGTCTCTCTCGGAGGCAAATGCACACGGGTCTCAGTGACCACACTGTAACTGGCAACTGAAATGTAACTATAACTGACTGGCAACTAAATTAACTGACTGGCAATTAAAAGAATCGTGAGCAGCAGCTTTTATGCAAAGGCAGACTTCGCACACTAATGTACGGGGATACGCTAACGTACGGGGATACAGTACGGGATATGCTAACGTACGGGAATACAGAAACGTACGGTGATGTGCTAACGTACATGAATACGCTACCGTACGGAGCTACGGTAACGTGCGGAATATGCTACACGCTACAAATGTGGAGGCTTTGTAAAGATCAGGGCTGGCCATGTAATGTTGTGTTCGGTTGGTGTGGGGAGAGGGCTGTGTACAAAGTGTGTGGCAATTGTAGGCAAGAGACTGTGGAGGCAGTGACAGGGCTAGCAGTGTAATGTTGGCGCAGAGTATGTTCCTGGTGTGGGCAGCGTGTTGGGGTTGTTGTAGATAGAAGGATGTAGAAGCAGCAATATTTAGGTGACACCGTAGTACTAGATGAGGTATTTGAAAGTGTCTTAGAAAAGGATCCTGGAAAATACGCTGTTCCCTGAATTTAAACAACCAGATATTTTAGTGTGGGCGTGATTATTGTTAGGTTAAGTATAGTTTTAGGAAGTGAAACTTTCGCATTTTGCGAATTTTGTAGTAGTTACCGGAAGAACGCAGGACAACATAAAACTGACCATCTTAGAAAGCTGTCCTAACGCAGTGTTTTTTGTATTAGTGGTGCAAAGAGATGTTGAGCCCCTAGCAATATGTAAAAAGAAAGGAACTATAAGTTTCGAGTTATGATTAACAGGCCACCAAGGTGATGAATTCCTTCATAAGTCATTTTCTCTTTACATAATACTATTGGCTCAAAAATCCAAGTCTTACTAAGCACACCTGATGCACCGCAACTACCAACACGGCGAAATATGGCTTATCTTGTCCATTCTATTAAGCTTGAGTTGTGCCCACCTCATCTCATGTGTTTTAATTGGTTCTCTTATCTAAGAACTAGAAACTCGCTCTTACTCCCTAAGTGTAACTCATCCACTCTTTTGCGCTCCCCTCTCTTTATTGCTTATTCTGTTTGGCTCACTCTACCCAGAGAAGTTAAGGACCTGACCTCACTCCGCCTGTTTAAGATCCGTGCCGCCCCTTATTTACTACGACATGCATAGCTCATTATCCACATGTCCTTTGCGTCTCTGTGTTTTCACTGTTTTTATTTTACATTATCTTTCTTTACGGAGTTGTTGTTGCTGTTCATTTTGCTACTCTTTCTTTTCCCTCCCCTTACTTTTATTTATCGCCGTGGTTGGCAATCACCCACTCTCTTAACATTGGCCGGTGTTTCCACCGAGTCTTGAGATGTTGTAATGAATATACTTTGTACATGTATATATAAGAATAAAATTTAATAAGTAACATCTCTATGCTTTTTTTGTCTAGGTCATCAAGGCAAAAAAGGATAGCGTAGGGCCCTGAGCTTCCAAGCTCTCCCGTTTTAGTTTTGAGTTACAGCTTCCCTTTTTTCATTCCAAAAGAGCGAGAGAGCTTGACAGCTCAAAACTCTCATGTGCTTCTGTTGGCTTGGTTCTGCACGCTCAAATGTTAATTCGAATTGATAAAATGTCTTACACACACCATCTTCAAATCAAGTGCTCTCTTTGCTGCAAATTACAATAATTATCTCAATCAAAGTTTGTGTCAGGAGCATTCATCGGGATTGTGGAGAAAAACAAAATGAGGTGGATCTATATCAGGCAAAAAAAAGCAGAAAGGAACGCAACTACACCTTACGGGATACAAGCGCATAATCCTCTCAGCACATGCACACCCACATACATGTGTACCCACGCACATACCAAAACACTGAGACACACACTCTCTCATTCTCACACTCGCACCAACACTCCCACTCACGCAATCTCAAAATCAAAATCACACCCACACTCAAACACGTGTAATAAAAAAACAGACAAAAAATACCAAAGTACCTGAAAACAACCGACGAGGAGACAACTGTCGTAAAATAGCAATGAAAAATAGCAATCGTGCACTCATAACCATGTACAAACAATTAAAATGAAACAATTCCAAAGTTCCAAAAATCGGAATTGTTTCGTTTTAATTGTTTATACATGGTTATGAGTGCACAATTGATATTTTTCATTGCTATTTTACCTGAAAACAAGTTGTGAATAGTGGTGGGACTATGACAAAAAAGGGATAAAATTCCGTCGCCAAACTGCACTTACGCTATAACAATGTCCTGAACTGTATAACAATGGCGGGAATAAGCACACACGACAACAGGACAGGACAGTGGCAACTGTAACAATGGTCATCATCCAAATTTCACATTGTCAATTGTCAAGCAGCACCCAACCTCGACCATTGTTCACCTTCGGACTGGCGTCTGGATATGTGGATTGCCTCCCTTACCCGGCAAATCGCGTACAACACTTCCGTTGCGAGTATCCCTGCTGATGTGAAAGGAATCAATGGCGCTGCGGATGGATGTTGCGGAGTTTGGTGCAATGCGTAGTGCTCCCACCCAGTTGTACTCGAGCTGATCCTGTAAGCCAGACGTAACTCTACAATAAAACCGACCTCGAGCCTAGCTATACATGTGGAGGTAGACGTTTGCTTAGGATAGCAGATGCTTTTGGCCACTTTGTGTTGGTGATGAATCAGGAGGCATTTTCGACTCGCCATTCCAGCCAGAACTCTGCTCTGGTTCTGGAACCAGTTACTGTTGGCAGTGGTGTTGGTGCTGAAATATATTGCCAGGGACAACACCGAGCGAACCCGCCGCATCGCAGCCGCATCCAGTCGACATATCCCAGAGTTGTTTATTGTTTCTTGTCGTGCATATCGGCCGATCAGCTCCATATCCTTGTATGTTCAGGTTGGACAATATCATCTCTTGTTGAAGAACATAACTGGCCGGTTGACTCGTCTCAGCACATGTCATAGCAGTGTTTGTCGACTCGGGATGGGGAACGACGCTCAGCAAAACAAACTTGTTTTCAGAAACACGTTCGATTATAGCGGACGAAACTATTCACTAAGCAGATTTTCAGCGACCATTCACGTGGACCTGGCGAAGGATCTTGACTTGGACAAGCAGGCAGACACAGCTTTCGAGTGAAGCAGAGAGTGTCTTTTCAAACTACGTCCTATCCGAACGGGACTTGCAGCACAATCTGATAGAGATAGTATTTTTGAATTGACTAATTCTACAGTCACCTGGCTGTGATACTTTACTGCACAAATCCAGTGCATGTTGCAGGATAAACAAAATCTGAGGTAAAATTTAAGCATTCTTTCGTCACCATGTCGTCAAAGCTAACATTCTTAGTTTGCCGTGATGTTTACCTTGTTTTCGTCTATAACGCGCCCACCCTCACCTTTCTCATGTATTTCAGATCTTAGAGTCTTCCAAGTTGGGAGGCTGTTGGTTTGCGCATCCAAGACGTGCCGGAGAACATCACCAGGTCGTTGAATGTCAACATCATAATCAGTCAGTATTGTGCTAGCTGTTGCACCTTCTGACTACACAACATTTTGCCTATAACTGCCGTTAGTGTAGCACACAAAGTACGGATAACATGTAAACTGTTGGTCCTTCCTTTTTAAGTTAAGTTAAAAATTAGTATTAACTGGTTTGAGGGAAAGAGACTTAGTAGGAAATTGTTTTTTTCCACCCCGGACTGCACGCCTCTCTCTCCCTCTAGACTTCACACTTGACTGACTCGCAACGGCCAATAAGAACGGTGTTGGTTAACACGTGACTGTTTCGACTGCAAATCAGAGCACAACGGTTGCAAATGTCCACAAAAGAACCAATTCACTTGAATTTTGCCTTCAATATTGAGAAACAATGTCACGTGATGTTGACAACCCTACTGACTGACTGCAGGTGGTTTGAGTGAGTATTTTTTCCTGTATTTACAGGGCTAACAAGACCACTGGGACAGGAGAGATGAAACGAACGCAGGAGAAATGATGAAACTACATGCAGATCTTTGGAGAATGAAGTTGAAGACACCACTGCAGCTGTACGTATGGTTGATAAAATATGGTGGTAAAGACACACCTGGCAATATGGCGGTAAACACACGCCTGCCCACACACGCTCTCTAGGCTGCAAAGTTCTGGCACAGAGCTCTCCTTCTCACCACCACCTCCATCAGTTCGCGCCTGGCGCCTGGTCGATGCTTGGCTGGCGGTATCCGGCATAGCAGGCTGGTACATCAAGTAGCGGGACGAAACCTACGTCGCAATCGAGCTATGTCGTTGCTGTGTCATCATCTATGTGGCATGCGCTACTTGATGTACCAGCCTGCTATGCCGGATACCGCCAGCCATGCATCGACCAGGCGCCAGGCGCGAACTGATGGTGGTGGTGGTGAGAAGGAGAGCTCTGTGCCAGAACTTTGCAGCCTAGAGAGCGTGTGTGGGCAGGCGTGTGTTTACCGCCATATTGCCAGGTGTGTCTTTACCACCATATTTATCAACTATATGTAGATCTGCCTGTGAAAAGATTGCACAAGCAGCAGTTGTCTGGCCCGTTAATTGGTAAGGCTCGCACAAGATATGAGGATTTTCAAAAGACCAGTGGACTACGACCATTGGAGTACATCCCAGTTACCGTCATCTTTACCGCGGCACATGTCATGTCACAGATTTTGTATGTTGTCATCTTGTACTTCAGTATGATGTACGGGTGAATGCAGCCATAGATATGCTGGATAATTTCTTGGCCAGCCAACGACATACAATGTGGACTACAACCATTGGAGTACAGCCCAGATACGGTCATATTTTACGAGGCACATGTCCCAAGTTCCTTGTAAGCCGTTTATACATGTACCACTTAAATTTGGCTGGGATTGAAGTGTTGAGTGCGAACTCAGTCGGTGGAGCATGAGACTCTTAATCTCAGGGTCGTCGGTTCGAACCCTATTTTGGGGGCCATTGTTGGGTGCGAGAAGGAGTCATA